GGCCAATGTGTCTTGCTATCTCTATCTGGTTCTAGGAAGCCTGGCTGAAGCCGTGCAGGGCCGAACCCCAAGTATTCTAGTGGGCAGGGCCTTCCTAGCTTAGAGGCTTGTTTTGCTTCAGGGTTGGTCCCTTGAATATACATGTTCTGGGCTGCTTTTCCTTTCTCTGTGGAACTGGAATCTCTGGGGTATTTTACCCTGGTTAGAGTGGTTTCAGCACATTTACATTGGGACTAGTGCCTGTAGCTTGTAGGACGGGTGCGGGGGTGGGGGGGGTGCTTCCTCTCCTTCCAATACCTCTGCTCTGCCTGGCTCCCCTTTGTTGCCACCTCTAGTAGTTGAAGATTAAAAAAGAAAGAAAGAAAAACAGCTATGCTCGGCTCTCTAATCTTTCAGCATAGCTGGTTCTCACTGGGTAGGACTTCAGCCCAGGCTTCTATCAGGCCAGAGGCCCAGCTGCTTGGTTGCAGATTCCCAGCACAGAGCCCTTCAACATGTTGGGGAATGGGTGCCTCCTTTCCACTTGAAATGGTAAGGATTTGGCCTCTTTCTCAGGATACTCTGACTGGTCTTCATCCTGTCCTGCTGAATGTTATTTCAGAAGATTTAATGCTTGGTGGTCCCCTCAAACCCCTCTGCTGATAAATATTTCTGCTGAATGGACCCTTCCACAGATACTGATGGGGAAGTTTTCCAGTAACTGTTATAGTGTACTCTGAATCTCATAAAAGACACCTCAATCAAGAAGCTGAATTATGAAGTCATTTATTCAAAGCCAGCAGCTTACAAGGGGGCAACAACACTCCAAATATCACAACCCTGAAATGCTGGCTTCATCTGGCTTATATAGGTAGAATATCATGAAAGTGTCAACTACATCTTTGGGTTTGGAATGAGGAACCTGGTTTGCACAAAGCAGTTACAGAATCAAAATTGAGCAAGTTTGTTATCTATAAAGATTAAGAATAGTTTTGGGTCTATGGATCACTGAATCAACAGAAACACATTATCTGGAGCCAATGAGGCAATTTAGAATAATTGTTCTGTCCTGGTCTCAGGACCACTGAGTCAACCGGAATGCATTATCTGTAGCTACTGAGACAATTTAGGGTAATTGTGCTGTCCTGGTTCCCAGGCACAGAAGAATGTGCTTCAATAACCAGTAAGATCACAATGAATGGATATTCAAACCACTATCCATGGAGTATTCAATCGATTACGATAGCATATATAAGTTCAGAAAATCAAAATAACTTTTCTAATGTTTTAACAAGCAAATAAGTACAGAACCAAAAACAGCAGAGTTAAAGTTAAAGTTAAAACTGCAGTTGTCTACCTGAGATGATTGCTACCGTACTTCATAACCAAGCATGAACTTTTTGCCTGAGATAAGGTGGTCTAAGCATCCCCACACTATCCCCTGTGGATTGAATTACCACTGATTTCCATTGTTCAATGCTATGTGGGCTCCCCTTCCCTTCTTGTTGCTCTGGTTTGGGACTATCTGCCTGTAGCTGAGACCCCATGCTCCCAGAGGACAGGAACTACACTGTGGTAACTTCCCTCCAGTTTCTCATACATGCTGAGCAGCTATGATATTTGACTCACCCACTCAGTATCTTTCTCCATGTTCCTCACTCCTTTATTTTTGATTAACTTTTTTCATCTGTTTTTTCAAGTTGAATAGCCACAAGTCTGGTTCATTATTGAAAGCAAGCACTTCCTTAGAGTGCAGACTCTGTTGCTGTTGGTCTTTCTCTTTATATCTATCAGATTTGCTTTATATATTTTGGTGCTGTTATGTTCAATTATGTCCATATTTTAAAATAATTTCATTTCTGAATAACTTCTTGAAAACTAAAAATAATTTTCCATAATAAAAACAAAATTCCTCTGGGGAAAAAAAAAACCTACAAAGTCTTAGCAAGACCTGCAAGAGTGTGTGACATTTAAACAACAATCTGTTTCCTCCCTCCACCTGTCCTACTTGCTGCCTTCCTAAACAACTAGGAAAAGACCTTGGTCCCATTATCTAAAATAAATAAAATTTTAAGTTTCAGACTTTGTATATGCATCAAATATCCTTCCAATTTTTTTCTTTTCTTTCTTTCTTTCTTTCTTTCTTTCTTTCTTTCTTTCTTTCTTTCTTTCTTTCTTTCTTTCTTTCCTTTCATAAATAAACAGTGTATAAATTACCTTACCTAATTGTGCCAGTTCCAAAGCCCATATTTTGTAATGTTCATACAAAGTTAGCAATTGCATTTTTTTTCATGTGTTTATCCTACCATTAACCCAATATATTGTTATCTTTAATTCAACTATTATATTTTTCATATGTAATATTTTAATTTGGTTCTTTTCTGTGATTTCTTTGCCTTGGGTTTTTTATTGTTTTTTTTTTTTTTAAATATATTTTATTGATTTTTCACAGAGAGGGAGAGGGATAGAGAGTTAGAAACATCGATGAGAGAGAACCATCGATCAGCTGCCTCTTGCACGCCCCCTACTGGGGATGTGCCCACAACCAAGGAACATGCCCTTGCCCAGAATCAAACCTGGGACCTTACAGTCCACAAGACGACGCTCTATCCACTGAGCCAAACCGGTCCCGGCTGCCTTGGGTTTTATTGATAAGAACATTTTCCTAAACCTGTAAGGATATTTATTGTGCTTATTAAATTTTTTTTGGTCTGTCACTTCCAATAACTCTATGTCAAATAATATATAGTGTTCAATCTGTTGTATTTCTCATATGGTAATAATACTCCTTAGATGTGTAGTTATTTTAGTGTGTGTGCTCATATTCCCCTTGGTTTAGCAGCTAATTTGTCACTGGTAAAGTGCACTGGAGAAGAGCTGATGTCTTTGTAGGTTCAAGGAGAATGAATGATGACCTGAGAGCAGAGGGCCTCAGACACAAAAGAGCCACTAAATCTTTCTCCATGCTTCGACCCTCAGGTAACTCCTGGGCTTCAACATTAAAGCCTTAGCAGTGGTTCTCAACCTTTCTAATGCTGCAACCCTATAATACAGTTCCTCATGTTGTGGTAACCCCCAACCATAAAATTATTTTTGTTGCCACTTCATAACTGTAATTTTGCTACTGTCAATGAATAGTAATGTAAATATCTGTGTTTTCTGATGGTCTTGGGCGACCCTGCTAGCACATGGCACCTGAAAGTATCAGGCAGCATTTATTATGATAATTTGGGGGTGGGAAGGAACCAGAGCATAGAGAGTGGGCCTTCTGACCTACCTTCCTTCTCTGTTAATGGGTTTCATCAGGAACTCCCAATGGGCTGTGGCTCCCATACACTCTGCACTCTGACCTCAGTTTTATTATTTGGGGTCTTTCCTTGCCACGAACCAGAAGAAATTCTTGGCCACACTTTGGACTTGTTAGCTCAAGCCTCTCAAAAATAGCCTGAGAGAGGGCTAGTCAGGGCCTGAAGCACCTGGGAATGGACTGCATTACAAGGAAGAACAAAGATCTCTGAGCTCTCTCAAGAGATTTGGATTAAATTCCTATTCTTCTGTTTCCTATGCATGTGACCTCAGACAAGTTACTTAACCATGCTAGGCCTTGGGTCCAGATCTATAAAGAGACCAAACCTAGATAAAAGTACTGAGCATTGAGGCTTGTCCCAGGCACCAGGGAAGTAGATGTGTGATTTGGCATATTTGCAGAGTGGATGGGAAATGTATTTTCATTCACTGAGTTAGGGGTGCCCAAGTAATTCTATCGAGGGGCAAGCACTCACATCACTCCATGCTCCACGAGGAAGCATGGCTGTTGATGAACAGACAGAGGTAACTATGAAAGGAATCCAGCATAAAGGCTACCACTTGAAAGTGGTCATTCTAGGGAGAGTGAGTGGCCAATTCTCCAAATCGGAACTGACCAAATGTTGACCAGCCTCATAACTGAGGTTACCATCAAAGAAGGAATGCTTTTCTTCCCACTTCCAGACACTGCTGAGCTGGAAATAAAATATCTATATGTGGGGTAGAGGGCTTAGAGCCAGCAAGATTCTGGTGATTGTGTGCATGTGACTTCAGCTGTTCTCACCTACTGGTGAGAGTCTGGACTATTTGAGTGACAACAGGGTTGGAAAGAATTTGCACAGAATACCTGATGGCACTTTGGACACTAAGTAACTAGAGGCTGCTCCCACATTGTCAAGGGGGTGGGGGTGGGGTGAGGGCTATGTTCATGAGGCCCTTATGAGAGTTCTGCTAACTAATTAAGAGTCTGTGACCCAGACATGTTTGCAGGGGGCAGCTTAGGAAATGGCTTATGTGCTGGATCAGTAAGTACTGGGTTAGATAACCCTCAACCACTTCAGGCTATGGCAAATTCACAGGAGATGGTAGGCCTGGTCTCTGGAGACTTGTGGAGAACAAGGTTATTGGTATAGAGGGATTGGCTAAGACCTGGTTCCTAGAGCAAAGTTCTTAAAACTGCTGGCTGGGATCCTGAACAGTCTACCTCAAATGGAGCCTCTGTGACTTTGGGGCCTGAAAGATTCTTCTTCATCGCCAACTCAGAGTCCATCTCTAGGAGGACTCTGTTTCCATTATATTGGCCATCAGTGCCCTATATGTCTTAGGGAATGCCATTTCCTTCACAGGGTGAGGCCTTGTTCCCAGAGACTGCTAGCTCTTCTGGGTGTCTTCCTGAGGAGAATGACTCATCTCCAGATGGCCAGTAAGCCACCCATTGTCTTAGTATGTATTTTTCCACCTCAATCCAGAGAGAAGGGAGACCTTCCTGTATTGAGGAGCTTGGAGCCCAATAGGGTGGGGTTAGTGTGTGGCTCTGATAGATCAGAAACAGAAGCAGGAGCTTGTTAAATTATTTTTATTTTGTCAGTCCTAGAGTAGGCCTCAGGTGGGCAGGAGAGCTCAAAGATGGACAGATTTAAGAGAATGAAGGGCCTATTAGCACTAAAGCAAACATGCTTGTGGGTGACGACTGGAAAGGAGCACCATGTGGTCTGTCACAGAGCCCTGAAGGAAATCAGCAGCAGAAGGAAAGTCTGTGAAAACACCAGGGTTGTGCAGTTCCTGGGCTTGTGAACAGTGCCCAGAGAATTAAAGTCATCCAAAGCAGGAGGTTTGCTCTGAGGAGGAGCAGAAGAAGGATCAGGATTTGGTAAGGCTTCCTGCTTCTTACTGATCCAGCTGGAGAAGTGGGTGAGTCTGGTGAAGACGCTGGGGCTTATGGGCTGGCGGCAAGCCAAGCTCCAGCTGGACAGCCCCATCAGAAACCAGGTATTGTTCAGCTTGCAGACAAGGGGACCTCCAGAATCTCCCTGAGGAAAAAAAGGGCATAAGTCTTGGGGACCAAGACAGAGAGGGACACACATTGTTTAGGCATGTGAAGAGACTCTACTTGTCCTTCACCAGAGTGGAGTTTAGGAGGCATGTGTCAAGATGGGTTCACACTTAAGTTGTTCTAATCAGAATCACTTGGGCGATTTGAAAAGTCCAAATATAGGGTCCCACTGCAGTCCTCCTGGATAATAAATAAATAAATTAATTAATTAATTAATTAATTTAGAGTGAGGCCTGGAGCTTATTTCACAAAGTTTTAGAAGAGACCCTGAGCTTCCCTCTACACTGGCAGTCATAAACCTATTAGAATGCACATGGATCCCAGCTGGTATGGCTCAGTGGTTGAGCATCAACCTGAACCAGAAGGCCAAGATTCAATTCCTGGTCAGGCCAAATGCACAGAATGTGGGCTCAATCCCCAGTGTGGGGTGGGCAGGAGGCAGCCAATCAATGATTCTCTCTCATCATTGATGTTTCCATCTCTCTCTCCCTCTCCCTTCCTCTCTGAAATCAATAAAAAATTTTATATATATAGCTCATGGAGTCCTCTGGAAGCCCTCTTGTCCTCTCAACTCTATGTGGGAGAAAGTATCATCTGAGATTCCAAGGGGCAACTTGTGGCAGGCCTGGAGGCCTGGCCTGCAGACCTCTGGCTAAATACTCAGCCAGTTACTGAACCCACCTGAACCTCTGATATTGCCTTGGTTGGAGTTGCAGGACAGCCCAACAGTTCTAGAAGAATCGGGGGGGGGGGGGGGAGGGGGCTCAAATGCAAGGTACTTGTAATGCTTTTATTTTATAGGCCATAAAGTGGGAGCCAAAGGAACACAGTACCACTCCAGCTTTCTGTTGAATAAACATGACGGAGCACCCTGTATGTTCAGGACATAGAGAGGTGGCATACAATACTGACACAGACAATATATCACATATATGCAGATGCAAGATGTAGAACAAAAGCATCTAGTGGATGGAAAAGGGCTGCTCTAACTGGGCCATCAGAGAGCTTCTCTGAACTAAGACTGGAGAAATGAGCAAGGCCTGGCTCTGTGAGATGCAGGCAGAGGTAGCCAGTGTGCTTGGTGTGCAGAAGGCGGAGCAGTGGACACACCAGCCCTCATGAGTGGTGTGTGTGTGTGTGTGTGTGTGTGTGTGTGTGTGTGTGTAGGGTATACTAAATGATACTCAGCAGGGAAGTGATGTGACCTGATACAGATTCTAAAAGAATGGTAGGATGGTTCTGAGACTGGGTAAACACAACCAGTAGCAGGGCATGAATCAGCATAGGGAGACCAGTCAGGACACTACTGTAGCAGAAAGGTTTATGGAGATAGATAAGAAATGGTTAGGCCCAGGACTGGCAATAACGAACCCTTTATCTCCATCTAAGGGAAAAAAAAAAGGAACAACACAAGAAGCCAGAATGAGTGCTGAGTGGTGGCTCCTTGGTGTTTGGAGGTCAGAAAGAGGAGGAAAGCATGAGATACAGGAAGAGCCACCCTTGGAGTCTGAGGGAAGCACTAAGGTGTGCTGCTGAGCACCACAGGGGAAGGAGGTCTGATGTTGGATAGCAGCCTGTGAGACAGAGAAGGGCACAAAAACTTCATGTGATGGGCTGAGGTAAGGAGAAATGTGGAAGGAAGAGAGGGCAAGTGCAGACAGCCCTGTGGTGAACCCTGCTGGGATAGTGGCCTGAGAATCATGACAATTGGCAGTGGGTTGGGGGAGGAGAGAAGATGCACATAAGGTGTTTTAAGGTGGGAATCATGGCAGTATATATCTGAGCTGTTTGGAGATGGCCATGGAGAGAGAGAAAGCAGGAAAGAAGGTGCAAGAGAGGGAGAAAAGACTGTAGGAGGAATCTTGTAGTGGCCACAGCTCCAAAGGAGGGCATGGCTTCTCCAAGTTTGACTGTGGTCTCACTACCTTGCATTGGACTATCTACTTCCCTCTCTGGGCCTCGGTTTCTCCACCATAAAATGGAAAGATTGCACAGAGTGAGAGAAGACATTCATAATACATAAATCCATAATAGCTAATTCAATAGGAAAGACAGAAGGTCCCATAGAAATAATGGCAAAAAACTTGAATATACACTGTACAAAAAGGCAATACACACATATAAAAAAAAAGTGTTTATCTTCATCATTCACCAGAAAAATGAGAATTAAAAATCACATGCAATGTTTAAAAAGAAAATTGTGGACCATATAAAGTACTGGTGGTAATGTAGAGCAACCTGAACTTTTAACTGCTGTAGGAGTCAGATTGGAACACATAGGTTGTAAGTCTGCCCTACAGCATTTATGTCAGGAACATGTACCTATTATAATAGGCTCAGTAATTCTGCTCCCAACCAAAGTGTAAACCCATGTGCACCAATATACATACACTAGGATGTTCACAGAATTGCTACTTGTAATAGTCTCATGTGGAAACTACCTAAATGCCATCAACACTAGAATGGATAAATAAAATGATACTATATTCACACAGTGGAACACTATTTTCAGCAATAAGATAATATAAACCAGGAGAGAGTACAAAATGACGATGGAATAGATGGACGTGTATCAAGCCTTGTTCTGGACCAGATAGAACAAGCAGCTGAAATGAGTAACACCCACTCCAAATTGGCAAAGGAGACTCAGCTGGTAAGACAATTTGCAGCAAGGAAGGGCAGAAGACCCCTGGAGAAAGTTAAAATCAAGGATCTGGTCTGGAGAGATCTGCCAGACCTCCAAGCCCAGAGGGTCAGAAGGAAACTGCATGACACCTACTTATTTCCCTTGGAATAGGTACAGTGTCTGACTGTGGAAAGGAGGTCCACAGGACTGCTGATGGCTAGGGTCAATAACACCACAGACCCAGACACAGTAACGAAAAACTGAGCCTAGAGAGGGCAGCTTGAAGGGCTGATCAGAACACACAGTGCTCGCAGGAGAGGGCCCTCTCTGTCGCCTTTGTTTTCTTCACTGAACTAGTTCCTTGGACCTTTTGGATAAGGACACTCACCCATGGCTGAGGTGCAGGAGAAGGTTCGGACTTGTGAAGTCTGGGGAGAGGCTGGGAAGAGGAAAGGGTCCAGGAGAAGTGGCAGTGAGTCTGGAGCTGATTAATACCTGAACCCAGGACCTGGGCAGCCATTTTCTCATGAAGAGATGGCCCCTCCAACCAGTCTCCAGGTAACCAATACAGCCACACACAGAATATACCCTGACTGGTACAAAAGATTAAAAAAAAAAATCTGAATAGTCCCTGTCCGTAGGGACTGGTTTAAAGAGAGGCCTTTGGTTCCAGCAACAAGAAACTGATAAACCACACAGAGTACAGAAAAATGGAATCTTAAGCCAGCCAAAGGAACAACACTTCACTTTTTCAATTTTATTTTATTATTATTTTGTTATCTCTTTTTTCTTTTTTCTTTATTTTCCTTTGTTTCTTTATTTTATATTTTTGTATTATTTTTCTATCATTTTATTTATTTGTTATTTCTTTTATTTATTTATTTTATTAAGGTATTATATGTGTACATATCTGACCATTGCACCCCGCACCCCATTCCAATACATGCCCTTACTCCCCCCTCCCGCAATGTTTTTCATCCTTGGTTATTCTTATATATATGCATATAAATCCTTCATTTGATCTCTTCTCTCCCCCACCTCTCCCTTACCTTCCTGCTTTAATTTGGCAGTCTGTTTGATGCTTTACTGCCTATGTATATACCTTTTTTGTTCATCAGTTTATAATGGTTTGTTTTTTTTATCCACAAATGAGTGAGATCATGGGGTATTTTTCTTTCATTAACTGTCTTATTTCACTTAGCATAACACTCTCCAGTTCCATCCAGGTTGCTGCAAATAGTAAGAATTCCTTCTTTTTTATGGCAGCATAGTATTCAATTGTGTAGATGTACCATAGTTTTTTGATCCAGTCATTGGCTGATGAGCACTTAGGCTGTTTCCAAACCTCAGCTATTGTAAATTATGCTGCTATAAACATAGGGGTGCATATATCCTTTTTGATTGGTGTTTCTAGTTTCTCAGGATATATTCCTAGGAGTGGGATTACTTGGTCAAATAGGAGTTCCATTTTCAGTTTTTTGAGGAAACTCCATACTGTTCTCCACAGTAGCTACACCAGTCTGCATTCCCACCAGCAGTGCACGAGGATTCCTTTTTCTCCGCATCCTCGCCAACACTTGTCATTTGTTGATTTGTTCATGATAGCTATTCTGACAGGTGTAAGATGGTAACTCATTGTCGTTTTGATTTGCATCTCTCAGATAATTAGTGACCTTGAGCATGTTTTCATGTGCCTCTTGTCCTTCCTTCTGTCTTCTTTTGAAAAGATTTTATTTAAGTCCATTGCCCATTTTTTAATTGGATCATTCATTTTCTTTTATTGAGTTGTATAAGCTGTCTATAGATGTTGGACATTAGGCCTTTATCAGTGATAACATTTGCAAATATGTTCTCCCACAGAGTGGGCTTTCTTGTTGTTTTGTTGATGGTTTCTTTTTCTGTGCAAACACTTTTTATTTTGATGTAGTCCCATTTGTTTATTTTCTTTTTAGCTTCCATTGCTCTAGGGGCAGTATCAGTGAAGAAGTTCTTTTGGCATATGTCTGAGATTTTGCTGCCTGTAGATTTCTCTAGTATTTTTATGGTTTCCTGTCTTATGTTTAAGTCCTGTATCCATGTTGAGTTTATTTTTGTGTATGGTTTTTCATTTTTTTGCATATATTTGTCCAATTTTCCCAGCACCATTTATTGAAGAGACTGTCTTGACTCCGTTGTATGTTCATGCCTCCTTTGTCAAATACTAGTTAAGCGTGGTTTAGGACAATTTCTGGATTCTCTATTCTATTCCATTGATCTTGTGCCAGTACCATGCTGTTTTGTCTGTTCTTGTGCCAGTACCATGCTGTTTTGAGAACTGTGGCTTTGTAATACAGCTTGAAATCTGGTGTTGA